TACTACTTATTAGGTTCTTATTTATAGTAATATAGATATTATATTAAGTAGTTTAATCTACTATTACTAGAATAGTATTATATTATTTATATCTTCTTTATTATTTAGGTAGGCTAGTAATTAAGTCTATTAATATTTTTTTTAAATAAATATAAAAGTACTAAAATAGTATAAGTAAACTATAAGGTTAATACATCCTAGTCTTTATTATCTAGTATATATAATAGTGTTTAATATACATTTTTATATCCTTTTTTATTCCTTACTAGAAGAATATCTATATAATCCTATAGAAAGTCCTATAAACTCCTTAGTACTCTACTATAAGGTTATTATAGTATAACTATAAGATCTCTAATCTTATACTAATTAGTATAAAGATCCTTCCTTTATTTACTAGTAGTCCTTATAGGTTAATTATCTATAAGATTCTATATAGTCTTACTTCTTTTTTATTACTTTTATATACTACTTTCTTAGTTTAGTCTATAAAGATATCTTTTTATTAGACTACTAATAGCTACTCTTAAAGCGTTCTTTCTTCTAGTAGTATTACTATATAAAGTATATAAGGTTATACTATACTCTATTCTAGCTTATTATATTTAACTACCTAAGCGCCTTCCTAGCTCTCCTAAGTATAGTAAGATCTTACTTTACTTATATACTTTATTAAGTCTTACTTATAAGTTTAGTATATATTCTCTTCTAGTTTATTCTATTCTACTATCTAAGTAGGCCTTCTACTAGCTCTAGTATAGTGAATTCTTATTTTAATTTTCTCTTTAAATTAGTCTAAGAACTAAAAGAGTAATTATTATATATATTACTCTTTTATATTAAGCTTATAGTCTATTTATTATAAGAGTGTATTAGTTAGGTTTAACTTACTTACTATAAGAGTGTATTAGTTAGGGGTTTAACTTACTTACCTTAAATATAATTTAGAAGTTATATAGTAATAACTTATTTAATACTATAGTTTATTTAAATAAGAGTGTCTTCTTTATTATAAGATAGTTATAATTTAAGTAGTCTATATTATAAGTATCTTTATATCTAGTGTTTAATATTTTAATTCTATACTCTAAAGCTTTTATAATAAGAATACTATAGGATACTATTAACCTCCTTATAACTATAATAGTACTATACTAATTATAAAATTAAATATATTTATTTTTATTCTTATTTAGGTATTTAGATTAAACTATATTAAAACTAGTGCCTACTAAAAAACGATTTTTAGGTATTAAAACCGATTTTTAAGTATTAAAACGCTTTAAGCTTATATATATTTAGTATAAACTTTACTAGTATTCTATATTTTATCTTCTCTATTAGGAGGTATATTATTTTACTAAAGTTCTTTATAAACTATTAGTAGAAGCTTATAAATCTAATAAATACTTAAATCTCTTTAATAGTATAAGGTTATAACTAGTTTATAATTACTTTAATATATATTAAGTCTATTTTAATTTTATTTAGTTTAATAATAAACCTAAGGAATTTAACTATATTTATATAGAATTTATATTTTTTATAGTTTAAATATAGACCTACTTTATATAGTTTTATAAGAACCTAGTAAATATACTATATATAGTTAATAATATCCTTACTAAATACTAGAATATTATCTAAGTATACTATATAGATATAATTAATTTCCTAGTATAGGGTAGTATTAATATATTCTTAGAATATAATTAGTACTCTTATTAGTCTAAATAATAAGACTAAGTACTTAAAGTAACTAAAGTAATAGAAAATACTATTTTTTACTTATCTCCTTTATGTATCCTTAGCCACCTATATATATCTTTTATATCTAGCTTTATATAGATCTTTACTCCTTAAAGCCTATCTATTATCTCTATTATAAGTAGTAAAAGCACTCTATTTTTCTTTATAATTTAATTAAGACTATAATAGTTAATATATAAGTGTAGTTTTCCTCCCTTCTTTAGTATAAATAAAATAGAAGCTCCTACTAAGCTAGTTAACTATTATATCTATCCTTACTTTAAGCCTTTATTAATAAATTTATATAGTTCTCTTAGCTCTCTTAGTATAAGAGGGTAGATAGGACCCTATAGAGGTGTTTTTCTATCTTCTAGTTTAATTATATATATTAGGCTATCTAGTAGTAGTAGCTTTTTTACCTCTAGTAAAAAGATATTAGTAAAGTTAGAGTACTCTTATAGTAGTCTTATAAGTGCTTTATCTCTTATAATCTAGTCTAGTTTAATACTTATTAGAACTATTATAAATTTTATTCTTCTTACTTCTTTATAAGCACTTTATACTATATATATAACTTTAATATATTATTTATTTAATATAAAGTTCTAATAGTCTATTCCTCTATATATAGATATATTCTCTTTTAGAAGCTATTATCTTCTAAGTATTATCTTCTCTAAGGAATTAGTAATAAAGGGAACTCTTATTGTTTTTATACACTCTAAGTCGTCTATTATTTATATTATTCTTATAATTTCCTCTTTTACTAGTACCCTTTCCCCTATAAGTGGGTGTTCTAGGTGGGTAATTATAAGTAGGCTATAGCCTTACTCCCCCTTCACTATACTTCTGTCTATAATATTTAGGGAGTATATAATTAAACTAGATAGCTAGTCTATAGTAGGATTATATTTATATTAGATTAAAGAAGGCCACCCTCGATTAAATCGTTCAATCATTGTGTCTATACCTAGGGCCGCTCACGTTCGAAATTATTCCCGCGTAGTACACCCCTTCCCCCACCCCTCCCCCTCCTCTCCACTCTCACATGTGGCTATAATTAGCTAATAGGCTCCTACTTTAATAGTACTACGTAGTTTAGTTACTTTTTAGAGTAAAGACACTTACTAGTATATTAAACCACGCTAGACCTCACTAAATAAAAGAGTGATTTAGACTCTTATAAGCTATATAGTTTAAATTCTTTTACTATTATAAGGATATACTACCTACTTATTCCTTTAAGGCAAATAAGTAGACTTATAGACTAGCCGTCCATTTTAATCTAGCTAGGGCTTAATGTTATTATCTAAACTTAGCGTTTATCTAATGAGGATACTTAAAAGAAAGCCTAGTATGTCTATTTTCGCCTCCTATTCAATACACCATGCTTTCGGGTCCTGTTGCAACAGCGCATGGGCCAGGCTCCTCTCGAGCTACAGGAATCTGTCTTGTTTATAATAACCCTTGCTGTAAAAGAAATCCAAGTAAACGAGCAGGTGCAAGTTAACTTGCAATATTGTGTAACCATGAATTTCAATGCATGCGCCCGATGAATGAATACCGATGACGCCAGCACTGCCTGGCGGCCCCTTAGGCGACCTGGTTGGGTCGCAACTGGTCCACTGCACCGGTTCTGTGAGCTGCCCCGAACACCACAGTCACACGCTCTCCACAACGTTATATGCTATTCCGTGAATTCAAAAGAACCTGACTATACCTAATCGAGTTTTGACTGCAGTAACTGCTGGGAGCTGTGATGCAAGGCGTGCGATCACATGGGCGACTGACTGGCTTTGGGCTGGTCCAGTCCCCTGAAAGACCCAATGAAAGCTTTTCGTTTCTTGATGCGTCCTGCATAAGCAAGCGAACTATCAAGCCACATTTGGACGCCTTAAATAAAGTCAAAAAAGGCTGTTGCTGGCATTGCATTATCATTAGTGGCTCTCGGAGTACTTCCGCGCCCCTCCCTCTACAACGCCTCAGATGGTTATAGAGAGCATCCAAGCAGTAGCGTTAGATGGTAGTAGATAAAAAATGATGTAGTGGTGGTTAGCTTGTCTCGTGACTGGAAAGGCACTCCGATAAGACAGGAACCGAACTGAGCAAAGGTTAAAAGGCGACCGATTCCCTAAGAGATTTCCCGAAAGCTCCTCTAAAGATACACCACTTTAATTTCACGAACCTTACTTAATTACTAATCACAACAAGTAATTATCTACTCTTTTTATTCTTTTCTTTAAACGAAACAGTCTGAACATAAACTCCCTACTCCAATTTGAACATGGCTGCTCTTGTCGCCCGCTGGTTTCCACCTCACTTGAGGTCGCGCTGACCACTCATGCGGCCCAGCAAAGCCGTGAATTGTAAGAAAATACAATGTAGTAAAAGAAAATGTAAGACACGCTAACAAGAATGGGTCATAGGTACAATCAGCTGCTTAATGACGGCGACCTGCCTGCAGTGGATGATGCTCACATCCAGCGTCTGGCTGCGATGTTTGTCTCCCACAATGCCCATAATGTCCTAGGAATCCATTTAATCCACGGACATTTCAAACTTCTAGAGAATTCAGTGCTTCTTAGAAAGAATTTCGAACACCCGGAAGGCCGCTGGGCTCAGGTGACTAACGTCGGCGGCATGGGTCTGTCCACGGTCCATGGCCGCATTTTTGTCTACCAGAATGGCGGATTACAGCCGTACGAATACTAAGAAGGGCCTCTGCTAAGGTTTTCTGAGGTTACACGTAGAATTTTGTAGGCTTTTGTGTACTACATCTCGCAGAACAACTTAACTAATCTGATCGGCCTTTAAGTGCTAGGAGACTATAATAAATGTGCTATGAGTGAGCTCATCCTTAATAACGGAACTGTGATGATTCGCATAGACGCTCTTAAAAACTATACACCTTATAGGATTACTGGGTGGCGCTTCGAAGAAGGCCCCAACGGACCGCGCTGCTGTCAGTCTAACGAAACCCACTCAGGAATGACGAGTGGAAATCACACGGTCTTCAATACTGGCAAGCCACTTCTAAAGCTGAAGAGTGTCGATGACCTTATAGCTGTTGTTAGAATCCTTTAATGGATTTTATACGTTAAGGCTTTAGCGAATATACTAAACTTTTAGGCCAATATTGGCCTACTAGCCAGAGCGGATTTTACGCTTTTATTTTAAACGATGCTTGCTGTTTAATACAAGGACTCCTGTTTTTCTCTATTAAGTTTCTTTCTGTTCCAGTGTATCGATAATCAGAATACACCGTCCATCTTCGTAGCAGGATCGACCAGATAGCCGTCCACGTACATCATATGGTAGCGACCATGATCGTCATCTTTAAGGGGCGTGGGGGTAGCCTCATTGGCAAGGCGACTAGCAAACCCATGTGACAATAAGAACCCTAATACGCGTGCCTTCTTAATAGTAGTCAATGTTTGCTCAGGCATACCGCCGACTTCCTTAGCAAAATTTAGCCAGAATAGCTGCTCAAGCTGCTCGTAGTCCGGAAACCTCAACCAACCATTATGTAAATGCATGGAGCCTATAAAAGCCTATACAGAGTGTAGATTTGTTCCGAACGGACCAACTGTAGCTTCTACCCAGTCGATCACGCCGGTCAAGTGGCACGAGTCTGGGTTCATAAGCAGATTGCATGCCCCGAAGTCTTTATGAAGAAGAGCCATAGGCAATACCATGATACGATCCAAACAGCGTAAACAGTCATATACTGTGGGCTTAAATCTTTCCGGAAGCCCTTACTTAAGAGCCCAAAGATCTCGAAGATTAGTCGATTTAAGATCGTCACGATAGTAGGGGGCGAGCCAGGATTTTACGAAGAAGCTATTCTAGTGTCAGACTGACGATTTCGGATACACGTATGGCGAGACATACCTAGCAACCCCAGTGAAAAAGTTTCGTCTGAAAGGAAAGAACTCAGCAGAAGACTGTGCGACTGGGCGGGACAGTACGAAATCTAACTGCGTGATACTAGGCATACGGGTCATCAAGTATACTAGCAGCTAGCAGCGGCTCCTTATTGCTTGCGCCTTCTTGACTTGTTCCTAGCTGCCCATGCAGAGAGACACTTAGAGCGAACGATCCGTATACAGCTGTTGCCAAGTCTGATATGCCCGTTTTCAAAGCCAGTGAGCTCAGGCGGCACTGCACAACGTATTCCAGGCGATTACCCGCATACATTGTGTAGCTGCATACGCCTTGAATGGCCACTGGCTCGACCCTGTCGCTCGTAGTGAGTTCGCGGGCTTTCACCTCGCACTCAGATCGTGTTGCCGTAGTCTTCTGGAAGAATACAGCGATTTCATCATCGACCGCATATTCAGCCATTTTGTGCCGGCTTCAAGGTTGGGCAGAAAATGCAAGGAGTTGGGAAAAGTCGCGGACCTGCGGTAACAGTCTGAGCAGTTACCCGACACGGCGAGGGTAAGGTGTGTGTGTTTGTTGAATATGAAATAAACAAGATCACCAAGGATGTATGCTAGGGGAGAAATGAAGTGCGTTAGGAAGGAATTATTCGTGGTGGTGCTTGGCGCCTCGGCTGCGTGTGGCGCGAGGCGACCCATGGCCCCCTTGAAAGGCGCCTAACTGCGGGGTCTTGGGCCACGCCAGACTACGCGGATCTCTGCCTGTTACACGGGACTCTCATTGCTCCATTGCTGCTGTTTGGCTTTCGCCAAAAGAAAATAGCAGTAGATCGTATTTTAAAAGGTTGAATTTCTTAAAAGGGTATCCGGTATTTCTGACAACGTGCGCTTTTTGGGCTTAAAACCCACCCTGTTGTTTGGATTCGTTAGGGAGCAGGCAGCCTGAAATTACGGAGCGACCTAGACCAAAGAAAATGTGTATAAGTTATATTAAAAGATATCTCCTAATAGTAGAGTTAGGTGTTGATCCCTCGGGCGGGCCGGCTTCGTGTCCGGAGTGAATGACTAACTAGCCAGTGTGAAACTTGTCTTGGGTTCGACATCTTGGGCGGGAATCGAAACGGAGTCGCAGCCTGGTCCTGTAATTGTGTTATCCAACGACACTCATTCAACCGCTCCCCACGGCCCCACCGGGGGTTCTTGCGGATTATTGCCAATAGATGAATACGGCGTACTGGCAGATGCACTCGGCAGCCTTGCTGTGTCGTAATTCCCTGGGCTTTTGTGTCAGCACCAGACGAGCATGCCCGACATCCTGCAGGCTTCCACAATGCAAGCACGAATTTCTTGAGGACTTGATACATAAAACTAGAGTTGATTCGCACTGCGTGGCTCGAAAAGTTCAAGAAAAGCGCATAGGCTGCGACCGTTCTTGGGCTTTCGGGTATTTTGTGGCGTGCGGTTCAACCCGCCGAAATGGGGTAGCGGACTGGGGGCCGGGGCCGGGAATACTCCATTAACAGCCACACAGCCTCGGAGGCGCTGTTACGATGAGACGGCTGGCCATCCTTTGCCAAGTCTATTACTAGTATACCGGCTGCTAACCAAAAACGGTAAAGTAGAAACTTCTCGCCGTAGTTCTGTGGAGGCAGCCTTACTTCCCACTCGTACCCAGTGCATGTTCTTCTGCTTGCCTAGTCATGCTCTACGGCAAGGTCCGAGAAGACGGAGATCGCTCAAACTAGGGCAATAGAACTTGGTAGTACAGATGACTATTGATACCTCCAGAGCGGCCTTCTGATGCAAACTGGCAAGTCTTTTAACGATACCATATCCATGACCGAGAGCGCCACGCTAATGCATGGTGTGACCATTTGATAACAGCAGACGAGACACATCTCTGGCAGCCTTATAACAAGCAATGCATGTCTATGTTGTCGACAGCCTGCGCATTTGAGCCATTCAATCATACATGGGCTGATGCATTGCTGGCAAGTGCTACAAAAAGTAGCACTTAACCAAGTCAGCAGATTTCCACGTCCTACAGTGTCTGCTGCTCGCGTTATACCAATCCCAGAACGTGGCTCAATACGGAACGACAGCAAGCGTGTGGAATCGGAGACCCGGTGCATGTCATGTTTTGCACACTAAAGCGCTCCAAGGAAGCGGGCATGGCATACTCGGCAAAGGAAACCGATCCTCCCTTTGCGAAGCCGAAAGGCCACTACGTTGTAGCGTGCACGAACTGCAGAAAAAGCAAGGTAAATACATAAATCCCCCCAGGCGAGGAAAAAAATGTTTACAAACTAAGGAATTTAAATTTACAAGGTAAAGTGCTCCGGCGAGCCCCTTAGGTGCCGACGGTGCGCGGGCAAAAAGTTGCAGTGCGCTTACCTCGGAGTCGGAGGACAATCTGCGCCCTCTCCCACGCAGGACCAGCCTTTACAAAGCGAGCAAGACACAGGTTGTGATGCCAGCACCAACGAACTTTTTGCCGGGAGCAGTGATGCTTCTGGCACGACTCCCGCTTTCCGAAGCTCCAGTCCGTTAACATCTGCCGCTGCAGAATCTCTTTCTCTTCAAAGTATGCTGCTTGCGGTTGAATGACCAGGTAAAAAGCATCCCTACTAATCAAGTGTTACAAGCAGACTACAGTGAGACCTTCTTATCAACATCCAGCGACGTTTCCCTCCCCCGCGGCTCGCAGCTTTCCCAGACAGGCATCGTCGCTGGTGACGCCGACTTTGGCAACTTCCTCAACGACGACATGTGCCAGCTCACAGACTACGAGGGCGTAACGCAATTGGGCCACCAGCCTGAACACTGCTTCTTGCAGGCATTAAAGGCCTTTGAAGCGACACAGGTGAACCTTGTCTGGGCTAGCGATAGCCGCTCCGCAGGTGCTGTGGAGCTTCTGAGCCATCTGAAGCAGGCAGTCAAAGATGGCGAGGCACTGCTCGACTGCTACGTGTGCATGCAAAACTCGGCATACATCATGATGCTGATAAGCATGTGCGGCCACATGGCTGCGGTGCTGCAGGCCGTCTCTGCCGGGTCCGAGGCTAGGCAGCGGGATGCAGCGCTAGGGGCCAAGGCAAGACAGCCAAAATCACACTCTGACTATGATTACAATTGGAGAATGAGAAAGCAGTCCCTGGATGAAGATGATGAGCACATTATCCTGACGAGTCTTCGCTCTTCAAGAGCGGCCAAGGTGAAGGAACTCGTTATTCGTGTCGAAACGCTAGTCATGGCGCAAAGCTGGCCGGCTCACAGGGACATGATCAAGGACATTAGAGACAAATTGCATTCTCAGGTGGAATGAGGACTGCGTCTTGAGCTTGAGGAGCTTCTACAGACAGCTGGTGGTTTTTCATGCCGTCCAAATAAACGAGAACCGAGCGGCAATGATTTACAAGGCAGGTTAATCATACATGCCCGCGTTGTTCGATTCTTCGTTAGTCAAGTAATCTAGCCAGACAAATCATATCCAGTTAGTGCGACTAAGCTACGTTCCGTGGGCAAAGAGTAATGTTCAACGCTGGAGGGTCCCAGACAAGGTATGCCTTTTGCACTTGCATCCAGTTTTTGCTCGTATGGTGTATCTTCAAGTCAAAATTATACACCAATCGGGCTAAAATTAGCTTGGTCTCTGCGTACGAGAGGCTGATGGATGGCAGTGATTAGTGGGCGTTGTGCTACTCATGCAGACCAACTTACTTTCTTCCAATGCAATTTCTTGTCCCTACGCTGAACGGCTGGAGCGCTTCTAGCTTATCGGTTTTGAACTTTCCATCGCCAAGAAATCTTTCTGGCCGAAATTCGTACGGATTTGTCCAGAGGGTGGCGTCATGGCATATTGCCCACTGCCAGATTGCCACCACAGTCTAAATCGAGCACATGTCAGGAGCTGAAAAAGAAAAAGAGCAATGCAACGCCTATACTCACATTCTCTGGCACAAACGTGCCACATATTAATGTGCCACCCTTTGGAGCTACCCTCGGCATGCCGTTCGTTACGGGGGGGTAATAACGAAACGTCTCGTGCAAGCACGCAAGCATGCAATCCAGGTGCTTGACAGACGTAAAGTCAATTTCCTCTTCACTCTTGAACGCGGTTCGTACCTCGGTTGTGACTTTCTCAAGCCATTCTGGATGTGTCAGAAGAGCATAGATGGCTCCAGACAGGAAAGTCGCTGTGGATTCTGAGCCAGCGCCGATCAAAGCTTCTCCATTGCGTGCAATTTCGTCCAATGACTACTAGCACGAAGCATGAGTCAGTTTTGCCAAACCAAGGTGAGAGTCTTGGATGTGAAGTACGAACCAGACCATTTTGCTCCTGTATTAATCCCTCGATGAAGTCTGGTCGCTCTACACCAAGCTGCGCGCGCTCCTTGACGTGCGACTTGATGTAGTCCAGGTACCCTTGCGTCGGAAGCAGACCACACCGGATGGCCAACTTGATCAGCTTTCCGAAGCCTAACCCTTTTAAGCAAGCCACTATCGCCATTGCCTTGTTGTGCTTTGCACTCGCCTTGACCCATGGCGTCCACTCGGCGCCACGGAGGTTGCTCGCGTCCGACCCGAACGACAGGTTCCCAATAATGTCAAACGTAGTCCAGTTCAACCACTGATTCAGGTCTACGACAGCATCACCATTGTCGCAGCTGCTTCGAAGACTGGATATGAGAATGTCGATATAACCACCAATGATGGAGCCTTGTGCATGCATCGACCTCTCCGAGAAGCCGTGCGCCAGCAGCCGGCGCAACACACGATGCTGGGCCGGCTCGGCGGTGATGATGTCTCGCGGAGAGGACTTGTCAAGAACGTAAAAGTCGTAGTACTTTGAAAGTTCGCCGCCGCCGCCAGACCGCCGCCCGTAGACGTCGTTCCAAGCCCCCGCGCCGACGACGCTGATTTCGTTTGGGGCGATGCGCACAATGGCGCCGTACTCGTCGTGCAGGCTCTTGACTTTGAATTGCAGGATACCCCCAATCATGTAGTAAGACTTGGGGAGGACCGACGCGCGGAAGAGAATCGGCCCGGGAATATCTCTCAGAGGATGTAGCAAGACATTGTAAAATGTTGCAGCACATAGGTACACGGCCACCTGGTTTGCTTTGTTAGCTGGGGCATGGGTAGAATCAATGCTTGACATACCACGCCAGCCACGGCACCAAAGATGATTGGAAAGCTCATTTTCATGAACAGAGAGGCCGCTCCATAGCTTCCAATAACCGGAAGGAAACTTGATAATAATTGTGACTTGATTCTGGGTGGATGCCCGAGCGACTCTGAGCAGCTGCATAGACTCGTCGCTATTGCTGCTTTGGGCAGCGCCGAGAGGAAGTGGAGCGCACCGGACTTGTCTGAAGTACACATGCCGAAGCGAAGCCACATTTGCAGTCATTGGAGTCAAAAGTAGAAAGTACCTATTTGGGGTTGATATGGTCGCAGGCAAAAAACAGAAAGGTGCCTATCTGGGGCTGAAATGGTCGCAAGACAGAACTTGACCTACTATCCAGTCGCACGACGACGCCGCCGCCGAGGGAGCTGCCGCATTCTTACCCTGCCTTGGTCGCGAAATTATCTGCAACACCACGAACAGCGATGCCCGATGGCTGACCGCTGAGCTACTGTTCAACTTTTCCAAAGAATTTCATCTTTTAGCTCAGGATTTACCAAAGCAGAACTTGAAAGCGCCTCATGCCACTGCCTCCCTTTTCGAAGCTCCTGCCATACCATTAGTTATGATGTAGATACAAGTCTGACGAGTTCAAAGCACCTCTTTTTTCCGAGTCCAATCTCTCGACATGCTCGTTCTTGCAGACGAGGACGTACTTTTAGTGTCACCCTCCTGTAGCATAGTACCTGGCTTTGGGTGAATACGACTGACGTATTATTCTAGCAATATTCTGACGGTTACAATGCTTTCGTGTAATATACATCTCCCAATCTAGTGTCCAAAATTGACACGAAAACGTCGCAAACCTCAAATCTCGCCTCTGGTATTTACGACACGCAGGTGACTCCCGCCGCCGCTGTGCGCTGCTCCAATGCAATGAGGCTAGAGATATCCTTGAGAAGATAGATCTGGCCATAAATATCTGTAACATCACAGAACAAACGAACCAAGCTGATGCGACGGTTGCCAAGCCGTTTCATCGAATTGCTTTCTTTGGCATCATTCTCAGCCTGTAAACAGCTCAGTGCCCCATTCCAACAGCCGCGCTCATACTGGGCCAGGTCGTACAGAGCCAATTTCCGGCTACTTGCTTCCTCTTCCGTGGCAAACTCTGCAAAGTGCAGCGAATTCAAGTTGTTTTCGCGACGGTCTCTTTCCCAGGAGCCCATGTCGTTGTACATGCGGCACATGATGGAGATGTGCGTGCCAACATTGGTGGCATAATACTTTTCCGCTACGGACGGAAAGCAGTTCTTGTTTGGCGTGCTGGACGGCAAGCCAGCGCCAATGACACAGAGCGCAAACGCAAAGCAGAACGGGCCGGCAACGTGGTCAGCCGACGTTGTGGCTACCCATCGACTGTAGCTATGGGATACGGAAGAGACGGCTTCGCCCTCGAGCTCAGCGTCCGACATGTGGCGCAAATTATCCTGCACCTGTGCTGTGTGGGCGAGGAGGAAGTGACGCATCTCTTGCCGAAGGTTACGGCGGTCGTGGAAGCTCGCACGTTGTATGACGTCGTTGTTGAGCAAAAGATTCACACATTGTGACAGCTGCTGCAATATTCTTGCATCGGCTTTGGTTGCTTGCTCGTCAAGTCCGGGTTCAAGAGAGAGGCGCAGCTCCAATGGGTGAAAGGTCGCCTTGTCAATAAGATTTCGCAAAGTCCCGTAGCGACCATGGAACGATGGTCCAGCAACAGACTCCATAAACTCATCAGCTTGATACGTAAAGAAGGACAGTACCATCATCTCATGCAAAAAGCTGGGGGAAGCATACGACCTCGATCTGTTGCTGCAGCTAGTCCAGGTAAACGGCACCAACTTGAGGTACGCGCCGCTCTGGACATTATTCGAGGGCAGAAATTGGAGCTTGGGGACGTCGATGAACATTGCAAACAGCTCGGCGTCAATAAGAGATGCAACTATCTCCCATCGAGGCAGAGACTCCAGAAGAGGCGTTTTGTGAAACAACTCAATCTGCTTTGCACGCTTTTCCACAGTGACGTTGCCAAATATGGAACCGCCGATGGTACCAGTGAAGGGCACAGTCGCTTGCCGGAGAGCGGCCAGGATGTAGGCTTCGGTAATGGAATAGGAGCCGTAGCTCACCTTGTCAGACCAATGGTGACTCATTTCTGTCGTGGCAAAGGACAGAATGTATTCGATTCCCTCGTTGATGGAAGCGCGTAATATCTGCTGTAGGTCCTGGAAAAAGACCAACTTTTGTGCTTCACCAAGTATGGTGACTGCATACGCGGTCTCTTCGATAGAACCACCCCAGGATCCATTGCTGCACTGGTCCAAAAGGGGGCGCAAACAGGTTTGGTACAGGCAAATGCCGGCCTTGCGTAAGAATGACTCGCTGAAGGTGTCTGCGAGATGACCTTGTTCAACCAAGTAAAGCAAATCTGTGAATGCCTCCGTAAATAACAATGATGAGTAAAGATGACTGGTGTTCTACTATTGTTAGTCTTTGACTAGAAGGACCGCACATGGTGCATGGACATGAACACACCCATTTGTCCCGGATGCACGCATCTGCATTCCATTTCCGATTGCACAGAAACTCGGCTAGCTTCCGAATTTGCACACCATACAGGTCGCAGTGACCAGGATGCAGAAGAGCAATGAGGGCATTGCAGTTTGCACTGAAGCTTGCGTCACGCTCGTGCTGGTATACTCGGAAGTGTGTCTGCACCTCAAAGACTTCGACCAGACGTTGAGGCTGCACCGTCTCTCCGAGATAGCCCAGAGTTGTGATGAGCTTCGCAGTGTCATCGACATCGGCTTCAATGCCAGGTGCTACAAATGTCAGACGATGTACTTTTGTTTCTCAAGTCCAAGCTTACCTAGGCCAACTACACCGTCAGATTCTTCGTAGGTGTGAAGCAGCATTTCTGTCATGCTGTTGAGCTCCGGCGAGGCAAGCTCAAGCACTAAAAACCCAGCCCTAAACAAAGTCGAAAGCACCTTGAAGGAGCATGTAAGCCGCCATCGCATATGGAACGTTCTATTGACATGTGATGAAGGTACACTTACCCAAACATACTCGAAATTTGTAGTCGGAAACACACCAGGAACGCCACCGCTACCCTTTCCGACAGAAGATGCGACGGCGTGTCGCAAATACGCCTCAGCCTCTTCGTCCCATTTCGAAGCGTTCATCAAGTATGCAGCCGTGGATGACGGTGAAGCGAAAAACGAACCAAACATCTTGTGGTGCTTGAGCCTGTCAAAGTCGACTCGGCCGATGAATGCCTCCAGGGAGTGTGTAGCTGTCACAAAATCGTTTCCGTACAAGAGCTCTGGCTTAAAGCGGGAAAGCCTTGCCTGATACACTTCGAGCAAGTCCGACTTGGCTTGGAAATGAAAGACGAGCGACGGGTCTTCGGCTGTCAGGAGGTCTAGCATGGCAGGTACGATTATTTCGAATCCCACATTGTTGGAACCTGAGACATCCCAAGAGTCAAGCTGAGAGCGAAGACTATCCACGGCGCGCTCGACTTTCTCTGCCATCTGTCCCTGGTCTAGAGCGACCTGGAGGGGCTCTGCCATGTACCGTTTGAGCACTAGCAGTCCCGCCATGGTGCTGAGGATGCCATCCACTTGGGCCTTGGTGTTGCTCATCCAGCCACCGTCGGCGCATTGCATCTTGACAATGTAGGCAAAGCTCTCTGGGAATAGCCATTGCGCTTTGCCATTCTGGTCTGGCTTCTTGACGAGAGCAACCCACGCCGAGTCATAGACGGTGCACGTCAGTGTTCCAAATCCATATTTTTCGTGGGTGTTTTGCGTTATGGTTTGTAAAAGAAGCTTGGATCGATCAATCAAGTCTTCGATTGTGACGTTGGAAGCAGTTATTGACCCCATGGCTCGACAATAAGTGACAGCGTTTGAGTTGGCGAGGCTCGCGACATCGTGGGGTCTTTTGCTGTGCTATATACTATGGTCACTGGAGCTCGATACATTTCATGGGTAATACATCTCGAACTCCCAGTCTAGGCAATGACCGACAGGATTGGCCTTCCAGAATAGGAAGCCCGACGCTGTGCCCACCTTGGTCCGTGTCGGACAAATTTGTGGCAAAGTACAATTTCTCGTCGAATGCCTCACATTCGCAAACATGTTGAACTCGTTGAACTCATTGAAATAAATGCATTGAAGCTAGAGACATTCATGCAGCACACAAGGTATTTAAAAATCGCACAGACCAGCTACACAGCTGCCAACCGGTCCAGCAGCCGACGGAGTGATGGGCAAGCTCCCGATACTTTATCTGTGTCATGCAGAAACTCTTGAGCCCACCGCACTAGCTGCCCGATCATGTTCCTTGTATACTCCAAACTGCCGGTTCGCTCCATGCAACTGATCGCGTACCGCTTCACCTCGTCGCTGGTTGTCTTTTGCTGCAAAATATGAAGCAGTTGGTGATCGTCTGCCTCTACATTTATGCTGTGAATCACCGGGAAAGAAAACTTGCCCTCTGATAAATCTTCGGCGAACCCTTTCGTCTGCGAATACTCTCCGTGGCACAAATTTTTGTAATCGTCAGCGATTTGGTAAATCAGCCCCAGAACTTCAACAAGCGGCAAGAGGTCCACCGTAGCCGTCGACTCTGCTAGAATGAGTCGATAGGCCAGTCGGAACAGCCCTCCAGTCTTGTTCGATACCATTTCGAGATATTCTGCCTCTGTTGGGCACGTCAGGGTATCTCGCCAAAAGAGATCCATGGCTTGTCCCCGGTGCAAGCACAGCAGCTCCGAGACAAAAATCTCCGTCACTTTCGGGTTCGGAAGCTTTTTCAGCTCATCCAATGCCAAAAAATAGACGTAGTTTGCGGAGTTGATTGTCTGCGCCGTACCGAATATACTATGGGCTACCGGAAGACCTCTTCGGAGCACAGAGTTGTCTTGTATGTCGTCAATGAGCAGTGACGAGGTATGAAGCATCCGCACTACATTCTGTATGACATTCAAGTGTCCAGTCGGTATCTGTAGATATTCGTTGAAGCTTTCCAGTAATAGAGACCGGAATTCTTTTCCCGGGGCAGAGGCAATGTAATCATATGGTGCCATGACTATCTTTTCCTTGTTTTCGGTCCAGTTTTTGAAACTCAGGTCCAGAGTGTCGTTACGCGTTTCGGTTACGCCGACTTCTGGTATTTCTGGAATGATCGGATTGCCAAGTGTGAAGTTGTCTGCGGCTGGGGAATCATCGCGAGGCGTGATTGCTGACTCGATGGGCGATGAAGATTCATGTAGGCTCATCTCTATTTCCTCGTATGCGACCGGAGAATGTGAGCGGGGTGTTGATGTTTGAATTATCTCGCTTGTAGAGGTGGTAGCAGAGTCATTGCCCGCTAGATGCATGATATTTGTCATTTTTCCTGGTGTTGGCAAGCCAAGTTTGTCAAGGCTGGAAATATTGTTTCAAACCAAAAGTGTGCAATTTATGTTGTGTATATGATGATCAGGACGCAAGGTGCAAGCGTGCTATCGATACTTTCTCAAAACAACTACTCGGGTGTCCCATTCGTCTATGCGTCGAGCCTGAAAATAAGTATATCCACAAAGGCTGTTGACACATCATATGTCGCTCAGAATTTCCCAAAGAAGAAAGTGCGAGAATGCATGGCGACCGCGTGACCGATGCTTTCACAACAGTTGGTATAAGCTAGAGAAATGGTTGCTTGGGATTGTCAAGACGGTCAAGACCGCAAACTGTCTCTAGAGTGTCGGCGTTACAGAACTAAGTTGGAGCTGCTGTTGCTGTTCAATTTTTCAAGTAACTTGAGAGCAAAGTCTATACAAGTAGTGCCTAGCTTGTCGCAGATGCTTTTGCGTCAAGGTTCATGTGAGGCAGGCAATCTATCCATCTAGCGAAAGTCAAGATAATTTTTTCCATTCACTATAAAAAGCATTCTAACTACTCTTCTTCGTGACTGTAAATACCGGGTTTGTTCTTTCCAGCTACACGCTCAAGGAAAAATGAGCCAGGTCCTGGTCTGCCGTCTTCCTCTTGCGGACCAAGACTCTCGTCTTCGGATCCGGCACCATGTTTTCTGCGAGGAGCAGATTTTGCGGGCGCGTCTGGCCTTTATGGAACTCGAAATCATAAAGGAGTAGCAGATGACAAAGGATGAGTTTTGCCTCGCTGCTCGCAAAGAAGCGGCCGGGACAGGCATGCTTGCCGTGCCCAAATGGCAAACTCGTGATTTCTGTCGTTACGAACTGGTACCTCTGCGCATTTTCTGGCTGGGATGGATCCTGCCGGGCCCTATAATAGCGCAAAGGGTCAAATTCGTCGGGGCTGCCGCCGCCGGGCGGGAGGAACTCGGGATCCCGCAGGATTGCATCGGTGGCCATGGCGATGTGGGTTCCCGCACGGAGGCGTGTGCCGTCGGATAGAGTCAGATCCTGGCGCAGGATACGGTCAAAAGTCACTACTCAACTTGTTAGCCACTGTATCGCACTAGATACGATTGGCAAACCAATTCGTACACAAAAACGGCGGGTTCAAACGCTGCGATTCCTTTAGACAGCTGTCTAGTTTCTTCATCTTGTGCAGCATCGTCTTTTGGAAGCTACCGCCCTCTCTCAAGACACCAAGAATCTCTTGTCGTAGGATCTCAAAGTACTCTGGACGCGCGCACAAGTCATAGATGCATTGCGTTGTCAGCAGGCTAGTCGTCAGGACCGAGGCATCGCTGACGAAGAGGAGACGATGCGCAATCTTGGAAGCCGTAGCATCGCGAGGGTCAGCAGCATCCATCATCCACTGCAGCAAGTCGTTTGGTCTGTCGTATAGATCCCCGTCTGTGCTTTCGGAGGCACGGCGCTGATTTACCATGGCACCGACCAGTCGCTTGGCGCAGGCAATGTCGGCCTGCGTCCGCCAGAAATGCGGTAGACACAGCGCTAGCGCAGGACGAGCCACCCGCGGCACCATACGCAGCAGCATGGCCGTCGCAAATGCATTTTCCGGGTATTTCGTACTCGTACTAATCCATTCCTCGTCGCGGGCAAGCTCCATGCCGCCAAAGACGCGGGAGGAGAGACGACTGATGAGCCTCGCGAGGGCGGTGTGCATGTCCATAGACACCCAGGTGTCTGCGCACGCGGGCATTTCTAGCGCCAGGGCATGATCGAGTTCGTCCTTGACCTCGTCGAGGACGGCGGTCAGAGACGGGGTTAGCTTCTTTTGGATCGTTTCGATGTGTAGACGACTCTGGAGGATAATGCCGAGGCCAGTGTAGGTCCCGACGCCTTTGTTGTAGAGAGCCTGCGGGGAGCTGGCTGTGGCCTCGGGAAGGCTGCGAAGCTCGTCCACGAAACGGTGGGGGAGGACTACGATGTCGGTGTCGTTGCAGCGGACCTTGAAGGCACTGTTTTTGAACTGCGTATTTTGGTAAGAAAAACGGGGATTTCGGAGGATTGGGAACGTGAAATGATGGCGCCGTACCTGGTGGTAGCCCTGGGTAATCATTTCTCGGCTGCCTTGTGTAAATCGCATACCCAATAGCCAGGCTGGCTCCAGGAAGTGGCGGTATCCAACAGTGGGTAGCAAACTTGCTTTTCGGCTCTGCACATACTCCCACAGGGTAGAGATGGAGTAGTATACAGCAACCATGAGGCCTGTAGTGACGAGGAGTGCTAGCTTGCCGTCATCCATGGTAGGCGGCAAGGAGAGAACTCGGAGGCGCTGAGAAGCTTCGGCATACGCGCCGCTGTCAAACATTTCGATCGACAACAGAGAGTAATTTGATCATGGGTTAGTGATGCGATAGAAACGCGAGTGGTGGGATGCATCTTGATGGCTCCAAACACGAGCGAGGCTGACAAGACTCTGAGCCGAGGAGCGGGCTTCCAAATGAGGTATTTTACAGCTTTTTCGCAGCTGGGATTTCTGGGACGCAATTGCTTACTTGGTTTGGAGACAAAATCTAGCCGTGGCTGCAGCACCTGGTGCAATATATCTGCATCCCCGACTTGACACTTTTGTCCACCCGATAGAGTGAAGTATTCATATTTTGGTGCGTAGGCACGCCTGCGCTCCCCGCCCTCTTCTGCATTTTTACCTCACATTTCTACTTTTCTGTTTAAAATTGTCTGATTGAATTGTCTCATTGTACCTGCTTCAAGATTAAATGAGTGACAGCTCAACACCACGCATGCCCGTGGACAGGTCTGGACAGAGTCTCGGTAGAATATACGCCCGAATACAATGCCAAAATCAACGCGTCCATATGTAATCTGTGAGTAATATTGTGATCTGCGTCTGGTTCTTTGTCTTGGCTGTTTGGGACGCAGTACAGTCAACACTGCCTGCATGGCAAACAATCACCAATTCACGCTATCCCGGAAATGAGACGGGCGGCACCAGCTCCTGCGATACCCTGGCCCCGCAAAGCCAATCTATCATTTCCAGGATAGGAAAGGCCGATGAGCAAAAAGACTTTACGCGGTCGTCGTTGGCTGTCGGACTTCCAGATTGAGCCGGGACGATTCACAAGGTTGTAAGGGGTGGAGCGTGCAGTGTGCAGTGTGCAGTCGTGAAGTGTGCAGTCGTGCAGCGTGAATTTTCTAGACACGTCTTCTCCCTCCCTGGCTTCTCTATCCTTGCGAATGGGCAGGGCATCCAGCGGCTCGCCTTTATCTTCCAGCACATGCAGCCCCGGCAGTGTCTTCGTCCTTCTTCTTTCTGCTCCTCCGACGTGAGCCTGAGAGTTGCCTCTTTCGCGTGATACACTTGTTGCTCTTCATCCCTCCCACCCAACCGCTGCAATGGAGCAAGCCGCCCCCAACGTCAGTCGTGCCGACAAGGAATACCCCAAGGGCTTCAAGTTATTCCTTCTGACCGTTGCCATTTGCTTGACCATCTTTTTAATCTCTCTCGAGTAAGCAACATTCCATCACCTGCGACGTGGCATGGCCATGCTACGCTTCGCTGTTGTAATCACGGACACTGACGGTGCATAGCTTCTCCATCATTGCTACTGCGATCCCTGCCATTACCAGCGAATTCCACAGCCTCAACGATGTAGGCTGGTATGGAAGTTGTCAGTCTACCTTGCCCCCAGCCAGGCATGGTCGGTCAAGCTAACCTGCAGCTAGCCTACCTCCTAACCACCGCGTCCTCGCAGCTGCTTATTGGAAAATTCTACACCATCTTCAACATTAAATATGTTTTTCTGATTGCTCTTCTCGTGTTTGGCATTGGCAGTGCCATCTGCGGTGCCGCGCCAAACTCCATTGCCCTCATTTTGGGTCGTGCCATTGCGGGATGCGGCAACGCAGGCCTCCTCTCTGGGGCACTGCTCATCATGGCCCATAGTGTGCCCCTGGCGCGCCGTCCTTTATTCACGTAGGTGGCCTACACCTACCTGCAAGATCAAGTTGAAGAGCTAACTCGCAGAAGCGCCATCACTGGTGGCGTGTATGGGGTGGCTGCTATTGCTGGCCCGCCGCTGGGTGGTGTTTTTACGGACAAAATTGTAAGATGGCCTGCTGTCCTGCTCGAACTTCCATTGTTAACGTTTCTTCTCAAGTCGTGGCGATGGTGCTTTTATATCAACCTCCCCATTGGAGCCGTTGTTCTCCTTGTCGTCGCCGTTTTCTTCCGCACGCCTGAGGTGCCGCAACGACCGAAACCAACATGCTTTTGGGCCCGCATCAAACGTTTCGACCCGATTGGCACAGTCGTCTTCATGCCAGCCATCGTCTGTATACTCCTCGCCCTGCAGTGGGGAGGCACAACTTATGCTTGGAAGGATGGCAAGATTATTGCCCTGTTTGTGCTTTTCGGCCTTCTCATCCTGGCCTTTCTCGCCGTGCAGCATTGGGCACAAGACGACGCCACAGTGCCTCCGCGCATCTTCAAACTGCGCACCATTTGGTCCTGCGCGCTGTACCAGTTTTGCCTGGGCGCTAGCTTCTTCATCTTCATCTACTACCTCCCAATATGGTTCCAGGCCGTCCAGGGCGTGAGCGCCATCGAGTCTGGCAAACGGACACTGCCTATGCTGATAGGGAACATGGTTGGAACTACGCTCGCCGGCGTGGCCGTGACCATCATCGGCTATTATGCGCCGTTCATGATTGCTGCAACCGTATTGACGTCGATTGGTGGCGGACTGCTGACGCTGCTCAATCCGTCCGCGTCATCGGCTGTCTGGATCGGGTTTCAGGTGCTCGTCGGCTTTGGCATCGGCGTCGGGTGGCAACAGCCCATTGTGGCAGTGCAGGCGGCCGTTGACATGGAGGACGTGCCCATCACCACGGCCATTCTATCCTTTACGCAGACCATAGGGGGGTCGCTGTTCGTCAGCGTCGCGCAGACGGCCTTTTCAAATAAGTTGGTGCACGACATCCACGCAACGCTGCCTGACTTGGACCCTGGTACAATTCTGGACAACGGAGCCGCAGATTTGGCAAGTCATGTTCCGAGTAAGTACCTGACGCAGGTTCTGCAGGCATACTCGAACGGACTTGTGCAGACTTTTGTCGTGGCGACAGTCATGGCGGCCTTGTCGATTGTGGGCGCGTGCTTTGTGGAGTGGAGGTCCATTAAGAGCAGCAAGCAGGGCGGAGGGGAGGCGAGGATTGAAGCCAATACCGTGGTTGATGAGCCTAAGAGAACGACTATTAGTTGAGGTGTAAAGAACGACTGTTGGCTGATGTGTGAGTTAGGACAAATAAAGCCTATCAAGCACAGCTAATGCACTGCGAGGGGTATCCTGTTGAGTTCACAGTATTGTGTCCAGCGTTAGATCCGAGCCGTCGTCAGTCTTCACTTCCGCAACAGCCTCCTGACTTTCCGTTGGAGGATGCCCATGCCTATATTTTTATGTCACCTTCAGTCGTTTGGTCTTCAGAATGTTTCCATGTTTTGCTATCTAATCCTCTAACTCGACTCCAATGCGCCTCGCAATTTAACCCCCCCGAACTCCTCGCTAAACTCCTGCACTCGATTCACTTTTTTTTACATCGTCTTTCTTTTTTATATTCAGAGCCATCTTGGTTTGCAACCCTCGACATGAGCTTCGACGTGAGTCCAACCCCATGCTGTAGCGCTCCGTGATATTTATCCTCGGAACTGCGCGAACATGGTGTTCATCCGCGTAACCTGACCGGCGGTAAACTCATTGACGTAGGAGCTAGTGGAACGGTCAGTGACTGGAACAAAAAGGAAAATGCCTTCTTTTTTCTTCGTTGGAAATAATGACGTACTTGTCGTTGTAGCCCATAAACCCGTCGTCCTTGATGCTCCTATCTGCTTGCCATTGCTGGTTTCTAGACACGATGGAATCCCACGCTCGCCGTTACCCCTCGGAAGTCAGAAGAAAATGCTTAATGTTTATAGGCTCGTTCATTTTCTTATTGTCTTTTCTTACCTTTATCCAGACGAATTGAGGTGCTCGGCATTTAGTTTTGCTTCGTCTTACTTTATTCTAGCTACGTATTAATTAGCATCTCCTTGCCGTTTTTTTTTATTGTGCCTTGTTTTTTAGGGAGGAGGGTGGTGTTGTATCAGCCTCTCGGCTCATTATCTTCACTCGCCTCATCCCATCACGAGCCCACACAGGAGCAAATAGCTCGACAGTCCCCATTTAGTTTTTCGTGCTCTTTTATCTAAGCTTCTTCTTCGCGCAACTTCTACGCTTCGGTCTCTACACACGTAACTGAGGCCACAGCGAAGGCGACGATTCCCCAACTTGGTCGAGGTGGACGACTCTCAAAATCGTTACCTAGTCAGAGTCAGTCCAGCTCGTCACATCCTTATCGCTGCCATCCAGCGTCTCAGGCGCCAGGCTAGCGGCTGCAGGGCCACTAGCGCCAGGACAATAGTGGCATCCGAGGCAACAGGGCATCCCAAGGCATCAGCTAGTGCTGTGGCTTAGTGCTGTCTCTAATGCCTACTTCTACCGACTTTAGTGCGGCTTCTAGCGTACTCTGTGCAACTGCTAGCGCCTTCAAGTTAGTGCCTGCTTTTAAAGCCTCTAGTGCCTAGGTACTTTTTATCACAGCGTAGCCTCTAAGGAATTAGGTAGGCGCGGTCCTAAGCACGCATAGAGTCTATTCCTAATATCTAGCTTCTACCTACACGCAGGCTGGTTAATAAGACGCAGCTTAAAGAGCTACAAACAGATTCTAGTGTGATAATTCCTATTACGGGCGGTGGGTCTATTATAGAAGCTACAATCGACCCCGGCCAACCAGTAGCCAGCACGCTGCCAGTGTTATAAATGCACTAAGGAGCTATAGATGAGGGGTAGGACGGCCTGATAAGTTACTATAGGGCGCTTATAAGATTATAAAAATAAAAGAACTAATTATATAACTATATTATTAAGGATTATAATAATCTAATATGAATTTAAAATTACTAGACTTCTAAGTAAACTATAATTATTTAAATATTATAATAAAAAGAAATAAGTATATAATTTTTTAAAAATAATAAACTAATTATAAATTAATATTAAACTATTATTATATTTTAATTAATTCTTTTTAATAAGCTACTATTTAAATGCAAGATGCACTACTTTTACTACTAAATCCGGCGGATTCTACCGCCGTTTTTAGCGGCAAAAGCAGTGAGGGACTGGCGCGCCGGGCGCACCCCTGTCAGGTATTATGTACTTCTGGTGGTTTTGGTGGTTTTGGTTCCACAACCCATTCCCCTCCGTCACCGCAGGCTCTACTACCTCAAGTTTTCGTTTTCTGTTGTTCGAT